GGCCCAGGCGGCACCAGGAGTTCCTGGAGTTCCTGAGGGGAGAGCCTCAAGCCAACAAAGGATTAGGACGAGCATTTGAAACTTTTAAATTTTCAACTTTAATATGTATATCCCCTGGAAGATGGGGAGTTGGACAAGGCCTACTGGGGCAACAAGGACACACTCAAGGCTATCTATTCAAAGGATCTACCAGCACTCAAAAGTTATCACTGTCCTTCTGTCAGGGGGAACTCAGCAAACTCTCTTTGCCAAGAGCCTCCAGGAGGATTTCCAGCTTTTATAGCCCTCTTTTAACTATTTTTCCCATCACTGTGGCTGGGACTGTCACCTGCCCTACAGGGGGAACAGCCCACAAAGTTCACTGGCAGGGATGCCATTAACTCAAAGTCCCTTCTCAGGGGTCACTGCACACCTTGGCCTTTCTTTGCCCTCCCCACCAAACATGCTTCCAACAGTTCTGACACATCTGGCAGACAGAGCTCTCCTCAGGGAAGGCTTCAGCTGCTTAAAAGCTGCCCTTGCACCATCTAGCCAAGGAAACAAATTCTTACAGACTGTTGGAAAAGATGGCATAACAGTCTTACCACACACCCAGAGGGAGCAATCCAGAGTCCAGCCCGTCCCACCATTCCCAGGAAGGCAGTTCATGGGTTGTCTGGGGCTCAGGCAGGAGTCAAGTGGCTTCTTTGCTTCCTTCCCGCTGTCCAGATTTTCTCCTGCAAAAGCAAAGGTTTCTTGGCTTTCCTTGCTCAATCAGATGCAGCAAAGGGCATCTCGTCAATCTAATCCTGGAAACTACTCCAGGTTGTCATTTCAGGGGGTTCTCTCAGGTCCTGCACTAATCAATCACCTTGGCCATTGGTTTTCTTGGCAGGTTCTTGCATTCACCTTCTACAAACAAACCAGGAGGAGCAAATTCAGCTGTTCCTGCAACCAATCCAAGCTGGAATTCTGATTTTAAAGGATACTGGCTTGGCCTTACCAGTACAGATCCCACATCAGGGGTAATACCTACAGGTTCTGCCCTCTTCCACTCTCTTGGTGTTGACTGGCCCACACCTCAGGAACAACTGCAGCTGCCACTTCAGTGGGGACCTTGCTGCTGACAGGAGTTATTCCCTGCACAACAAGAGCTGCTGCTTGGACACATTTAGGTTCAGCAATTACAGTTTCAATA